TTTTTAAAGGCTAAAATTTAACTAAGAGCAGTGTAAAGAAACTAAAACTATTAAAAGGATAACAAATGGCTTAATAAAAAAAAAAAAAAAAAAAAAAAATTCAAGTTTTTAATTTTAATAATGAAGTACTGAATTAACAATGAGAATTCATTAAAAAGTGATTTTGTAAATTACAGGTGCTGAGTAATTTGAGAAAAAAAAAAAAAAAAAAATCTTTTTAAAAATAAAAATACAAAGGTTTTTCGTTAAACCAAATTCACTAATTAGACATTTAGTAGCAGTAATAGTATTTTCTCTTTAAAGCCTTTGTTTTTCCTGAAAAGTCTTTAATAACATTATGAAGTTTGAACAGTTAAAAAAAAAAAAAAAAAACTTTTCTCTCTGGTTACCAAAAGATGAAGAAAACTGCAAATCATAAGAGAAAAGCTTCAAGTGGATGATTTGTGAATGACATCTGATTATTTTTTTTTCTTTTTTATCACAGTAGGTGGAAATCTTGTTTTCTCCATATTTGTCTCGAGATTCACCAAGTGGAAGACAGGTCAGTTCTCATTTTCTCAAACTAAAGGGAAAAAAAAAAAAAAAATCAATACAATTAACCTAAAATAGCAAAAATGAATTATACAGATTTATTGAGAGAGAGGAAAAGAAAAAAAAAAAAAAAAAAAAAAAACTTGTTTTTGTTCATCCACCACCCACTCAAATCCATTGCCCTAATATCTATCTTTCAACTAATGCAGGTGCAAACAGAATTTGACACTCTGAAGTGGATTATTCAGCTGTTCAAAAATAAAAAAAATAATAAATAAGATAAAAAAAATAAAATAAAATAACAGAGACCTTGCCAAGAGTATTAGATCATTGCAAAAATGAATTGAGTAAAAACACAAAACGAAAAAAAAAAAAAAAAAAACAAAAAGGACTAAAAAAAAAAAAAAAAAAAAAAAAAAAAAAACAAAAAGGACTAAAAAAAAACAAACAAACAAACAAAACTAAAAAAAAAAAAACAAACAAAAGGACTAAAAAAAAACAAACACAAACAAAAGGACTAAAAAAAAACAAACAAACAAAAGGACTAAAAAAAAAAAAAAAACAAACAAAAGGACTAAAAAAACAAAAGGACTAAACAAACAAAAGGACTAAAAAAAAAAACAAACAAAAAGGACTAAAAAAAAAAAAAACAAACACAAAAGGACTAAAAAAAAAAAAACAAACAAAAAGGACTAAAAAAAAAAAGGACTAAAAAAAAAAACAAACAAACAAAAAGGACTAAAAAAACAAAAAACAAAACAAAAAGCAAAAAAAAGCAAAAAAAAAGCAACAACAAAAAAAAAAAACAAAAACAAAACAAAAACAAAAGCAACAACAAAAACAAAAAAGCAACAACAAAAAAAAAAAAGCAACAACAAAAACAAAAAAGCAACAACAAAAACAAAAAAGCAACAACAAAAACAAAAAAGCAACAACAAAAACAAAAAAGCACAAACGAAAACAAAAAAAAGAATAAAAAAAAAAAAAAAAAAAACAAAAAGCACAAACGAAAACGAATAAAAAAGCACAAACGAAAACGAATAAAAAAAGCACAAACGAAAACGAATAAAAAGCACAAACGAAAACGAATAAAAAGCACAAATAAAACGAATAAAAAAGCACAAATAAAACGAAAACGAATAAAAAAGCACAAATACATCCCATCAAATGGCAAAAGGCAGTTGAGATATCAATTTTCAAACTTTAAACAGTCTCTTTTGTCAAAATCTTCCATCTGTTCTTCATGACGACACACAAAGAGTCTCAAATGTTGGAAGGTCACCTGGGATGGCGTACATAGTTTAAGTTAAATACAGCCAACAAAATCGGCTAATTCACTTTTTGACCGTACAAAGAGTTAGAGCACAATCCAAATAAACCTTCTGAATGTTTTTTTTTTTTTTTTTGTCAGTTGACATTTACACCTTTCCAAAATTCAGAGCATATGGTAATAAAGTGCAAACTTAATTCACGATCTTTAAGTTATTCAACTGCAAAAGCACTCAACAAAGCCTGACTCACAACTGAACGATGAAAGGTTTCAATCTAGAACACACCAGAAATCAGCATGAAAACAAATGCTACAATCAATTTGTGGCCATTTTATATAAGACAAACTTTTGTAATGATCTGATATATTTTAACAGATTTTGTTTTGTATGGGGGTGATACTAATTAAAAAAAAAAAATAAAGCCAGCCTTGAAGATGAGAAACTGAAGACATTAGTGCAGACAAATACCCACACCATTTCAGAACTTACAAAAGAGTTAGGTGGAAATATTGCATCAATTTTTGAACATTTGGTAAGTCTAAGTTGGACAAATAGGTACCACACAAATTGAATGAAAACCAAAGGAATTGTCGTCGTGAAATTTATTCTGCTCTTTTGTGACATGAGGAATTGATCCTATGACACTCAGGGCAATAACTGAAATCAAAAGGCAACTTTTGCAAATTGTCCAAAGCTTATGGTAAGTGTCTGTTGGTCTTAAGCTGGATGGAGTCATTACAGGTGAAACAATCACAGGTGAAAAATATTCACAAGAAATCAATCAAATGCACCAGAAATCAATCAAATGCACCAGAAATTGCAGCTTATGTGCCTAGCACTTGTCAACAGAAAAGGTGCAATCCTTTGGCACACAAATTGAATGAATTGGGCTACAAAACTGCTTCATACAACTTACCTGTCCACTCAGCAACTGATTACCACTTTTTCAAACATTTGAACAACTTTATACATGTAAAAGTTTCAATGATTGCTGTTCAAAATGCCATCAAAGATTTTGTTGACCTCCACCAACCCAACTTCTCAGTGGAATAGCTATGTGTAGATTTTGTTGCCCCCCCCACCACCACCACCACCAACTTCTTAGTGGAATAGCTACGTGTAAAATCTAATGGCTCTGATTTTGATTAATAAAAAGTTTTCTGAAGATATTAAGTCATTTTAGAAAATAATGTTTTAAAAAAAAAAAATAAATAAAAATAAAAGGCATTATTTTCTGAACAGCCAAATAGATACAGAAAATCCTTTTCTTTACCCCACTCCAAACATATGATTATCATCTTCCCACAATTGAAGTATTCAAGCTCCTTTTCCACAGTAGAATCATTAAGTTTACCTTCACAAAATGACATACTAAATTGACTACTGCTTTGCTTAGTTTAGACTTGAACAATAGACAAGCTTCCTGTGCCACTCTTTGTTTCACTCATTACTACTGTAGGTATACACACTTCTGAAAGTTACTTGGTAGTAAACAAGTTTCTTGTTAATCCATTGATTCATTTTTTTAAAACTAAGAGAAAAAAAAATCCTAGACATTTGATAAAATTATGATTACAAAATCCAATAATGTTCTTCAGAATCACTTTCTCCCAGCACTGTTATTTTCTATGTGCAGACATATAAAAAAAAAAAAGTTTTTACTTCAAAGACACACATACAGAATGTGGGTACCTTGAACAACATTCAAATTGCAAACTGGATTTTGTGTCATCACGAGACCAGAGGTTCTTCTATCATGACACTGGCTGCGTCACTAAGTAATTTGACCTGAATGGGATTGGCTGGTAGATTTTACAACATATCAACCCAAGACAGATTATTTAAGGCAAAAGGAATGTTTTTTTTTTGTTTTTTGTTTTTTTTTTAAAAAAAACTTCTATCCAATAATCTGTCAGTAAATATTGATTGAGCTTATATCAGTCTGCAAGCATCCACCTGAAAATAGCCCATTTAGAGAGTCTATGACACCACCAATAGGGGAAATTCTCTTTGACATGTCCTCTCCACCTAGCTTGGAATAATTAAAAAATATTAACTATTTTCAACCATATTTCCACTAGAAATGAGGTGTAATATTTTTCTTACTAAATGCAAAATAAAAGAGAATGACTTCTGTGCATGGAAGAAGAAATTAATGTATCCTGGTTATCCCAACATAAAAAAGGACATTTTTTTCACCAATAATCATACTTAATTTATTCATATTAAGAATAATATTTTACAGTTTAACCCATTAAAGAACATCATCCATTTTTTGGCACAGTGGTCATTAAATAGTTATAGATACAAATCTATATTTAACATTTTCTGTCATTAATGTTATGGCAGACATTATTGGATTAAATTATTTTTAAGCTAAAATATATCTTTCTTTTTAAATAGATTTCTGAATTTATGTACAAGGTATACCAAAAAAGTTGTTTCTAAAATGTATCTTGTACATAAAAAATTTGCAAACTTCTGTGCTAACAAACAAAGGGGTGGGTAAGCCATCTCTTCGGCCAGTAAATTATTGGAATTTAATACAATTAAAAGTGAATATGTTCTTGCAAAGTAAGTACTTGATAAAAAAAAAAAAAAAAAAAAGAGACTAATCTTTTGAGCCCAAGTTATGCAGATATGCTGCTTGTCATGGTAAGATAAATCTTCTCAATTCATTCTGATCATTGAGACCAAACAAAATTAAAATTTATTACCTGACAAAAGTTTCAACATCAGAAAATGTTATATATTTAATCCGAAATTATTCAATTATGTATTTTTGTAATTTCATATGGCCAAGGGGGGTAAAGTCACTAAGACAAAATTATTTATAGAAAAGAGACAAAGGCAACTTTATCGCAGTGGTAAAAATGGTGATGAAAGGCAGAGGGATTTCTCAAATGATTAATGGATCAAAGTTTAGGTTTGGAAGCATTAAAATTGATAAACCATCTTTTTGCCCTATTTGCATGTGTGTGGGTTTCAAAGGTGTGCATAAAAACACAACCGGCATGAAAAATGAAATAACAAAAATACTTTGTCGCAGAAGTTCCGAAAACCCCTGGAAATCTCCAATTTTAGAAAAAAAAAGAAAATGCGTCTTACCTGAGCAAGTAATCACTGACATTGGTATAACCCATTTCACGGGCTTGGTGAATCATGATGCCAGTACAAGATCTACCTTTCTTTTTTTTTTTAAAAGCTGCAGTTGCAAATTCCCCGACAGGGAGGACATACCCAATTCTACATTTAAAAAAAAAAAAAAAAAAAAAAAAAAAAATTAACCAGAAAGTAAATCACATTTTCAGCACCCAAACGTAACACTTTGATAAACATTATCTTCAATAGATCCATTAAAACCACCTAATATGAGGGGGTGTTAAGACAAATAATAAAAAAAAACCTTGTGCTAATGAAAAGTGCATATACAAAAGAAAAATTGAGAAGTATAAGCAGTCAATTGCTAATATCCCCTGACGAGTGGACAGAGTGTTTCCTCAAGTATGGATGCTGAAGATGAGTTGTATTTTTATCAAGCAGTCTTTGCTTGAAAGTGCTTGATATTAGAGATCAAGTTAATAGGGTTAATGCAAATATGAAAATTTGTCGATTAGCTGATTGATGGTGTATATGCATATATACTTTGTTATAAAAGCTACTTCATTTATATATTAGAATACTTTTTCCAATGATACTTTGAATTAACACAAGGTGCCTAGTGACCCATAGATACATTAGCAAATACATTGTTTACCTCACAAAAAAAAAAAAAAAAAAAAAAAAAAAAAAAAAAGCCCTAAACATTCACCACATTAAGCAATGATGGAATCTTTGCTACAGCCAGTATTTAGCCACTGACATTTCACCGTTTTCTACAGTCATGCAAAAGATTCAAACAGACAAAAGAGTAGAGAATAAGAAAAATTGCTTTTTATAAACTCATTAAAATTTAATGATGATGTTTTCTATCAATACTTTCATGAGCTAAGCCACATCATTTACAACACCTTTCTTTGTATAAATATCCTTCCCACAAATTGCATTGGGTTTTGAGGATGACATTTTATAATTTTATATAATTTAACCGATGAATTGTTCATTTTCATTGCTTTTTTCGAGGGACAAACATTTTTGCTGGAATTTTTTAATATATTTTTGCTCAAGTAAATCCAGGTCAAATTCACTAATGTCATTACTAATGGCAGACAAAATTATGTGAAGTGTCAAAATTAAATCCTTTCCCACAGTCCTACCTAACAAGTCATTGGTTCTCAACTTGTAAGTAAACAAGCTTCAGAACTTAAAACTTTTAACATCAGAGTTTGGAACATAATACAAGATGAAAGCGGCTAATGTATTATGCATTCGTGAAGCTTTTTAGCTTTAATTTCAAGCTAATAGATTAAACTTAGGTACCTCCACGAGATCGCTAAAAAAAAGAGCATAGCATAATGAAAAAGACGCCAAACTTGACGAAAACAAAATTTTATCGTCTAAATGTTTGTTATTATTAAGAGGAAAGGTCAAAGTATTTTTGGGGTATTTTTTTCCATTTTTTAATCGTTCCTAGCACGTCTGAAATTTAAAAGATGATTTTTTTTTTTTTGGTACCTATTTTGGGTAGGTAAGATTTTGTTTTCACTTTTGTTATTAAATATCGCACATTGTGATAATAGATCTGCCAAGAAGGGGGAAACATTGTAAGAACTTGGATGCAAATTTACTATAGCTGATTTAGCAATTAAAGAAATTTCTAAACATTTTTGTCTTCATGAATTTTCTCTTAATTAGAGTAACAATTTTAAATTAAAATTGGTCAGTATTGTCACAGTGAGCAACTAATGCATTTAATGTTTTGTTTTGTAAAAGATCACTTTTTAGTTAGATCCAGTGACAGGATCCAAAGAATGTGAGTTCAATACCCAGTTAAGGCAGTGGAGAACTTGGAGAGGGGAATTAACAGGAGGTAACTGATAACCGACTTCCATTAGAGATGGCACGTGGAACTAAAACAGTCTACCCCAGTGAGCGAAATAAAGGGTTCAGTTCAATATTCCAACCACCTGAAGAAGGCCGGAGTGTACAACAGCTGAAACGTTGTGATAAATATGGCGACAAAGATAAGCACAATAGTCCGAATAATGTAAATAGTGTAATAATACCTCATCTCAGAAATATAGACAGATACTAAAAGATCACTTTTGTGTTCATATAATCTTTTATTTAAATTCCTTGAGGTTTCCCTAATGTATTATTTGTGGCAATTATTACAGGTTGTAGTGGAAATACATCCAGTTTTAGCTCATTTTGTATTAAGTCTTATTGTTTCAGATGTAATTGTGACAAACTTTATATTTAGTTTAAATTCTTTTCGATTGTAGTTGTGGTAGAGTTAGTGGCTAGAACAATTTTTTTTTTGAGGATTTGTTGGGTTTGTTCAAAAAGGGCCACTTGTCCATTGTGAAATATTTTGTGAGCCTTTTATGAAATAGTTAGGGCATGTGTGTGTGTGCTATCATTATTGCCTATACAAAAGTTAGTAAATTTAATGTATGAAGTCTAGATGTAAAGCAATCAAACAGCCATAAAAAAAAAAAAAAAGTTTCAACTTACTGGATTCTTTAAGGCAGTAGTAGCATCTTCTCCATATCGATTTCTCAAACAAGGACCACAAAACTATAAAAGAATTTTCAAAAGTGTATTTAAAAAAAAAAAAAAACCACTTCTTAAATGATTTTATATATATATATATATATATATATATATATAATGGGATTATTCTGTTAACATCTGCTCTGTAAGAACATCCTCAGAACTGAATAAAATCATTACCATGGTAACATTGATACTCTGTAGTTAATTTGAAAAAAGTTTATAAAAATGTTAAAATATCTGAAATCAATGAGAAACAACAAAATGTTAATTTACACTATTTACATTATTCAGACTGTTATCCTCGTCTTCATTGCCATATTCACATTTCAGCCGTTGTAAGCTCCAGCCTTCTTCAGGTGATTGGAATTTTTAACGGAACTCTTCATTTCGTCCACCAGCCAAAATGTAAATACAGCAATGAAAATAATGGTTCAAATAATGTAAATAATCATACCTCATCTCAGAGATATAGACAGATGCTGACAAAATGTTAAAATGAAAATATGTTGTTGACAACAGAATAAATGAAACATCCAACTGGTTTTCATATGTTCAATTCTGCATGCTTTAATATAGCTGAAATGAGAATATCTCTTGAAAGAAAAAGCAACAAAAAGACTGTGACAACAAAGCCTATTTCACGACAAAGTTGAAAAAAGACAATCACTTAATAGATGTAGATATCTGAGTGCAGGACTAACAAATAAGACTGCAATAGGAATAAAGGAACCAATTAAATGGATTCATTTTGCTCAGGAATTTTATCTCAATGCAAGTAAATATTTTATTTTTATACTTTATGACTAAGGGAAGTAATTACTCATAAGTTTACTAACTTAAGTTGATTTACTCTGGAGAGTAAAAACTCATGTCACAGATTCCAATTCTAGTGTCAAAGACCCAAAACAATCAACCATAGCATGCTCCCACTACTATCAAATAAATACAGCAAATAACTCCAATAAATTTCTACAAATATTAGACTCACAAACACCAATGACATTTAAGTTTTTGTCACTAGTCTAATCAATATCTCCATATATGAAACTATTGAGAAAAAAAAAAAAAAAAAAAACATGTATGTAATCATAATTCCCAGATGTAAAACATACAATGCTTTGGAAATTTATCGCATGTACCAATAAAGTATCCTTTTTATCATTTGAGATATATATATATATATATATATATCTGTGTGTGTGTGTGTGTGTGTGTGTGTGTGACTATAACTATGGGGGTCACCCCTCAGTCCAACAGTTTCTGCCTGCATACTACATAGGAAACAATGTTTACAACCCTATCTTAGATACATATGTGACCCCACCCACCACCCCCAAAAAAGAGGAAAAATTAAGTCTTCAAAAAATGATTCTATCCTATAATTTAGTTATGAACTTGAGAGAATTCTGATTTTGTAATTGAATCTAACAATCTCTGTAATTAAAAACTAATTAATGTATTTTCAAATTATAATTCAGCAACAAATTAACATTCAAAAAACATGACAAAATAACATTCTATTACCAAAAGCATATAATAGAGATCAAAATTAAAAAAACATCTGATTAAAAAACAAAAAAAATGAAACAAATGTGATTAATTATATAAAACAATTAGCAACTTATTTTCACCACCCCCATAATCTAAGCTTAATAAAATCAATATAGCATATTCATTTTTATATCCCTCATGAAATTGTATTTCCAATAGTACAATGAATAGATAAAATGCAAAGCACTGATCATGCAACTACAACCCTATCATAGCAACTAACATGAAATTCAGCTAATAGTAGCTATATAAGAACCTATATTCAACATGAGGAGCAGTATTTTAATATTCTTTAACAAAATAAGTGAAAATAAAATATATAACCTTGGTGAAATTACCTGGAGAGATAATAGCAAAAAAAAATAATCTATAATCTTGAACTATCAGAGAAAAGCCCAAAAAGAAATATTTCCTTGATGTTCAATCAAAATTTGTTTCCAAAATGGAGGAAGTGTAGGGCAACCCTGAAGGTCATGAAAGGTAAAAAAAATAAATCAAGTCAAAGAAACCATTTCTCACCAGTTAAACATTTATTCCCACATAAAAATATTATGGTAAGGGAGATAAATCACCATTTTGTATTACACTAATGCATAGTTACTTCCCTTAGTCATTTTAATCATCCGTACAGATCTTTTTGCCATTTAATCTGAATACAATAAATAAAAAAGTGTTACTGACATGATAATTAAATAGTTGTTATATGCAGTAGGGCAGGTCAATTCCGGAACCATGATATTGCACTCAATTTGAAAGTTGGGGTTTGACATGATTAATAAAGACACAAATTATTTTTTTTCCTAATCATTACTGTTTTTTTTGAGGAAGAGAGTTTAAAGATAAAGATTAAGTTCCAATGCTATGTTTTTGAACATAGCATTGGAACTTAATTCTATTGGAACTTAATTCCAGTGATCAGTGAAAGCCTTAGAGCATAGCCTTATAAAATTTGTTATTTACTAAAGCTTTACAAATTGTATAATGGACAAGATGCATGGCACAAGCACATTATTACTAAATCATTGTGCCATCAAATAAGACCTTCATTTACTTCAAAAGGAAATTATACTGAACAATTTAGCTATATGTAATTAACTTTTGCATGATTTTCAATAAACAATGCAAATTTAAAATATTTTGTCTTATAATTTGTGCCCAGCAATAATATGGTGTTATATAATTTTATTTTTTGCTTTTATTATGATCTAACAAATCTTATTCATTGATTATCCCTTTTTGCAATCTTTTACAATTTTATTTTTAGCTTTAATTATTGAATACATATAAAAAAAAAAAATAAAAAAAATGCTTATTTTGCTCATGGTGATTCATTAGAATTCTGGTTTGGATATATTTAACATTCAATATATCTAATACATAAAAATATCAACTTTATTTGGATTTATTAATAGTTACATTTTTCAAGCTTTCAAGTTTGTAAGCAAAAACCTGTAGAAATTGGGTAGTTCTAGACAATCTTTAAAACTAAATGGTATGATGTCGAAAAACAGAAAACTATCAACATACTGTATCAATATCAGTCAGCTGAGGTCTTGTTAAATTCAAACAGCAGGAACCATAGAGAACATTTATTTTTTAAGTAAACTTCAAAGTACAGAGCAAAAGTCACGGAATTAAGATAAATTACTTTTTTTTAGGCAGAGATGACAAGACAAAGAAAAATGTTATCCATCTGACCATCCCACAAAAAGGCACACAGAGATGAAACAGGCCTTGGAGAACGGACAGGGAAGACACCCATTAGACTGCGCACCTCTCTCTCACCTACCTCATCTCAACTTCACTCACTTATAACAGTAGGTTACGGCCCCAACTATCATGCTAGAAATGGTCAGATTTTTTTTTACTTATGGTAATGTTCTGGCCAAAAGGTAATTTTTAAGCCATAAGTGCTTGACTGGAAGATGCTACAATCTGACAACAAACCTGGCGTCTGATCTAAGCTGCAACACAACAAAACCAGATATCTTTATTATCTATTATTAATTCAACTGCATAATGGTAAAATTTCAGAAACTTTCAACTCAAAGCCAGTTGTAAATATCCAAATATTTTTCCTCTATTTCACGGACCAATAGAAATTAGTCTTTAATCTTACGAGATTTTTTTTTAACTTACCTGGCCTCTTACTCCAAAACAAGCTTCTGACCGACATATGGTCTTCATATCTGATGTCTTTTGTCGACACTGGTGACATGTAGTACCCTGGGGAAGAAAAAAAAAATTATCAAAAATTACAAAAATATCTTTGGTTTAAGTAGCATGAAAATATTTTAAATTTTGCAAATCAAAAAAGATATCCAATTTGTTTGCAAATAAATATTTAAAGTAAAATTATTTAAATGATTGTATTGCTATTACGACAGATGTTTACTAATGTCTGCTAAAATTTATAAGTAATTATTAAATATTGTAAATTTGTTTTTTTTTTATTTTTTAATTAGGTCTAAAATAATTTTACTGATTGAGGTTGTGTCTACATGAATTTTGATCCACTGAAATTTTGAAAGCTGCTTCTCGTCAAAAAATTAATTACACATACCAATGTTATAATTATTATTAATTAGATTATTTTAAACTTTTGTGTACTGGTTGCAAAATGTATACATACAGCTTTATGAGTACTAACCCAGGGAGAATTGGTTTTGTGCCTTCTCTCAGGAGCACCAAAACAAAACTGGACGCAATCTACTTTGGCCAGAATTCAAAATGTATACCAATACCAATTCTAATGTGTGACACCGCCAGCAGTTGTACTTACACAATAACTGTCATATTTTTTCTCACTGACAAAATGAGCAACTAACGCCAAATCTTCTTCTGTAATTTCTTCAGCGGATTTGTTTTGGGAGGGAACCCTGGCCATTCTACGATTGTCCGGAAGACAGTGTTCAGCAGAATCCTGTTGCAAAAAAAAAAAAAAAAAAGTTTTTAAAAATAAACGAAGGTGTGTGTGTGTGTGTGTATATATATATATATATATATATATATATATATATATATATATATATATTGTGTGAAAAGTGTATATAAATAAATATAAGTATGTATAATCATTTATATATTATATATATGGTACTTATTAGAAAGCACTCAATATCAGAGATAGAGCTAACATATTTGGTTGGATAGATGTGAGTTTGTGACCCTGGGTTTCACGCTTTAGCGATCGCCAGGTTTGTCTGATTTATCGCTAAAGCGTGAAACCCAGGGTCACAAACTCACATCTATCCAACCAAATATGTGTGTGTGTGTGTGTTGTGTGTGTTCATTTCCTTTTTAGCACAAAGAGATTGCAACCAATTAAAGAGATTTAACTTGCCAACCAATCAAAAGATATTACTGTATATACAGAGTGCGAAAGAGAAATTATTGTCTAAATTTCACATCTCATTTTGACCCAGAGCTGCACTACCTCAAGACACTTGATATAGGTCTCCATGCTGAGCTTGAGGCACTGTGGGAAGATGAATCGAAGCATAACATCACCATAATGTGTGATCACTCTGAACACCTTCATAATCACCATTAGACTCATCCAACTCTTTCCGAATCCTCTGAACCACTTTGTCCTGAGATTGACACCCAAACACTGAAATGTTTGTATTGGAGCGTCTGGCATGAATGCCAAGCAATACATCATGCCATTTCAAAGTTTCTGGTGGAGTGAATTGCATAATGCTCTTTGTCCCACAAATGGTGCCCAACTGACCCTACTATACTGTGCATTTGACAAAAATCAAACAACGCATATGCACAAAATTAAAAATATACAAATGGCAACAATTTACCCTGTACATGTGCCCCACCAAAATGTGATTGCTAAGTTGGCATCAAAGAATAAAACCTGTATACTACATAAACACAATTATTGAATAAGTAGATTCATAGAAGTCCTTTATAGGATTTTTTTTTTAGTGGGAGGAGGGTACAATAAGTAAACTAAATAGTCATTGCTCTAAATGGGATATTGTTTGAGATTTCAAATGTCTCAAAGTGATTGGTTCGATCAAAATGAATTGATATTTTTAAAGCTAATATTACACAAGAAAGAAATTCACTTGAAAAATACTTACTGCTGAGTCATCAATGTAGTCTATAGAGTCAGTATCTGAGCTGGTGGGTTTTTTGAAAAATGGGAATCGAATGAAAAGTTTCTGTAATAAAGAAAAAAAAAAAAATGTAAGAGTTAATTGTGTAGAGTGAATGTTTTGGAAAAAATTTTTTTGTTTTGAGCAAATATTTTGCAGGGAAACTTGAAATCATAACTGAAAATAATGAAAATAAATTTTTTCTTTTGTCTCTGCTGTGGAAACAGTGAATATTTATGTCACAGAACTGAAAACCGTGTACTTATTGGTCAGCATCTGAACAAAGATGGTTTTAAAAAAAAAGCTGTGTGAGAGAAACATCTTTATTTGTGGCATGTATTTGGAAAATGATAGCATCCTTCAGTCCCAAAAGGGATCGTTAACCTGAAAGACACTTCTGTTCACCTGTATTGAGAGGGTAACAAGCCTTGCAGCAGTAGATACGAGGTTTACACATGGGTGAATGGTTATCAATATTTTTTCTTATAAGCTATTTCAGCAACATGATTGAATTTATTTTTCTTTTTAACAGTTTATCAACCCTTTGTGAGTCAAAACATTTTCGATCGTTGCTTTTTGGGTCGTTTTTATGAGTTAATATTGTATTAGTTTTTTGAGAATAATGATTCCTCTCCCAAAGAAGAGATGGATTCCCACCATTTCAGTTCCAAAAGGTTTTGTATAAATGTCATATGCCCTAGTCGACAAATGGGTTTATAAGGCGATCATACACCGACCAGAAGATATATACATTATCATACCTGTGGAGAGATACAGGCTATCTCTCTCAGATCATGACAATGGACAATTAGTAAACAAAAAAATACTTTAAAGAATACTGTTCGATTATGATAATCGAACAGTAATCTTTTCCCAGGTTCGCTTCGGTTTCAACACGAATACTGATCCACAATTCAAGGATGAACAATAAAGCGTAGTGAATTTTGATATAAGGACTTTAATATGTACAGATATACAAAATATTAAAATAAAAGAAAATATAAGTATGAGTAAAACATCTGACGACCAGATCTCAAGACTTATGTTGGGATATCAAAATATGCCTAGCTACAAATGGATTCAACTGAACCCGAACGGATAAAAAATATAAGTATGAATAACTACGAATGCAGAAATCAACACATAACCAAAAGAGATGGAATAGGAGTTAAATATTATTATTTTGACATGTGGAAAGGTGTTTGTAAGAACATAATATTTATGGATGCATGTGTATCTTTCTAACACGTGTCCAAAATATATGATTACTTATCTTTATAATCAGTTCTCTTTTTATCATTGTCCTTTCTTTTCTCTTCCTTTTTTTTTTTTTTTCTTGACACAAATACGATTTCATGCCCTGTCCGGCTGTAACAGAGATATACACTTTCTTCCTTTCTCTGGTTTTCTTTTTTTCTTTCATTCTTTCTTCTTATGTATACAGTTCAGTTTCACACACGATTCAACTGCAACAGGGATATACACTTTCTTTCTCTCTCTGGTTTTCTTCTTTCTTTCTTTCTTTCTTTGCACAATTCAGCTTGTAACAGAGATATATACTTTCTTCCTCTCTGGTTTTCTCTTTTCTTCAAACACAGTTTGTATTCTCAGCATATAAACTCCTTTGCGCCTTCTGTGATAAGTAACGCAGGTTATCGTCTTCAATTTGGGGTTATCGAACAGAAATACATGTTCTTATATTTCTTGTCCGGAGTTGCCTGGGATAAATTGGACAAGTTCCATCATTATCAAATGAGTCATCTTTCCGTTCATAAGTTATCAGCGCTTCGATTTTGAGTCTTGATCCTTCAGAGACAAGACCAACAGACTCCCAAGCAATTTTCTAACTCTCACGTGTCCTGCGTTTTGGCGCGAATTCCAGCTTACATCAGTCCCTTGTCTAGCTTCTGTCTAGACATCTGTTGCTACGGGTAATTGGGTCAGTCAACCCCTTGACTTGCTTTCACAAAATGTCTCAAGACTCCCACGTGACCTCTTCTGTTGTCAGGCAGAGATTAACCTTAATATATGCGTGTATGGGCTATCTGCGTCCGTCACATAAATAATATACTTCTAAATTGTGGGGAAGTCTTTGTAATCTACACATATTTGATATTCTTAAAAGATCAGGTAATTTTAACAGGTTAATCATTGGCCATTGCTTTCCGTGGGATGTGCAGGTGGTGTAATAGTGGCTGGGAACGAGAAGTCAGATTACATTTCAGTTGGGTTCATTTCATTCACTTACAGATACCCTTGGGAAAGGTATGAATCCACTTCCCAGAGATGGGTTAAATAGTAGAACTTGTATCTGGAAAAAAATCATTATTTCCCAAAAATTGTTAATGCAATAGTCACACACAACCCAACCTTACAATCTAAAAAGAAAAAGAAAAAGAAAAAAAAAAAAAAAAAAAAAAAAAAATATTTGATAAAGTATAACAAAAAAAATTGTTTTTCATGTCTTGCCAGGTCTTTCACACGTCTCTCAAAATGCTTCCAATCAACAACTTTAATACTTCAAGGTGTGGATCACACAAATTTCACAAACCTACAGCCCAGGAGCACCTTAAAGCTTCAGCAATTTGGCAGCACAATACACAGGTGTATTAACACCCATAACAATCAATTAGAAATGTCAAAAACTTTTACAAAGCTGTAAATTTACAAAACCATATCTCAATCAGGATGGGGTGGGATGATTCCACCTAGCATGAAACATTTGGATACTGACACTTAGAATTATTTTAAAAAAAGAAATAAAAATATCATGGGGGGGGGGGGGGACAGAAACAGAGAGAGACTTACTTCAGGTGAAACAGCAGGTGATGCGGAAGACAAGGAAGAAGAGGAGGAAACGGTGGATGATACAGAACCCCGCCGGGATCGAGTGGCTGGTGGCAAGGAGGTCAACCCATAAGAACTTCGGCTGCTACGAGTTGGATTGCGGCGTACAAACGTATCGTCATTTTTATCTAAAAATTTACGGATTTTGCGGGGACGTTTCTGGAAAAGAAAGAAAGAAATCAAAATAACTTGTATACATATTTATAAAGGTAAGATAAAAACATTGTACACAGATTGATATTCTTTGCATTCTTATGCAATATTTTTTCTTTAAGAGTGCTCCCACTTGCCTATTTTTTTTTTATTTTTTTTTTTAGGATTCACCATGGTAACATGTGTGTATATATATATATATATATATATATATATATATATATATATATATATATATAGTGCTGTCATAAAATGGTTTGGTCATGCCCAACAAATCACAGAGGTCAAGGTAGATCTATGAAGGCATGGAAGGACTGTATTGGGAGGGATGTACAGGAGTGGTGCAGCCTTGCCCACATTAGCCCACTTGACAGAAGGAGCGAGAGCTAACCAGCTGCTGTCTACCCCAGTCACTGGGAACCCCCGCAGCAATATCACTAAAGCTGTGGATCTTGACTCAAGTCAATTGTTGATATGCCCCAGTCAAGTGGGCAATGTGTTTTCTCGAGGGCCCATCTATGAAAATCTGCGACTGGGATACTGAAGGAAACATAAATCTGCTAAGTGACAAAACTTTTGCTTGTGTGTGTGTGTGTGTGTGTGTGTGTGTGTGTGTGTGTGTGTGTGTGTGTACACACATATATACTTGGGCTGCAACCTTTCTTTTAAGCATCTTTCATTGATGACCAACAAGGAAGATTTAATTAATCTTTTATCGAGTTTTTCAAGCATTCTAATATTTTTCCATTTTTCAGGGCTTAAAGATAATAAAAATTGTCCATAGTTATTATTTAGAGTGCTTTTGTCTACTTTTATAGCCATTATCAATGTTTGGTGAATTTCATGTGCTGTCTCCTACATAGTAGTTTAGCTGTGTGAAGGAGTGTATACTTTGTTTTTTTAGAACTTCTTTAACATGCTGTCTCCACTACAATCAGTGTAATGAGATGTCTGACTGATATGAAAAGAATTTTTATGTTATTGACTAGAATTTTCCTCAAAAGATTCTTGTGAATTATGGGTTAGAGAGAAAAAAAAAAAAAATCTTACCTCTTCAACGGGGACTTCTGTTCGGAATTCAGCTAAAAGCCGTGCTAACTAAAAAATTTGAAAAAAGAACAACTCATTAATTTTGGAGAGGACAAATTATCACAAGAATATCAACTGGTATATTGTTAAATTAATATTTCAGAGGACAAGGAGGAGGAGATGCAAAGAAAATTTTAATTGTCAATCAGTGCTTATGGACACTGAATAAGTGATTTAAAAAAAAAAAAAAAAAAAACCTACAAAAGATATATTTTAACTCAAAGCAACAGAATTACCATTTTCTAATTATAATAACTCATTAGAAACATCAAAGACCAATTAGCGATATATTTTCAAAGTGAGGATATTTAATCAAAGCATAAAGGCCAGTTCATTGGTCTGACCTCTTGAATTTATACTTAACACAAAATACTACAAATATGAAACAATAAGGAGGAACACAAAACAGTTTTATAACAATATTTATATTTTATGTATGGCAAATGTCATACATGAATAATTAATAGGAGTTACTTCCCTTTGAATGGAATTAGGGTCTTTACTAGTGAAATATTTTTTTTTTAACTAAGTTCATAAAAAGTTGAATGAACTTGCCCCTCAAAACATTCAGTGTGAGTTCTGTAAAGCTGAAAACATTGATAAACTTTTAGCTTTAGAAGAGTCAAAGGAGTGAATGTTCCGTAATGTTTGTAATTAAGTTTCTGTTGCTTGTAATGTAGTGTTCGTAATTAAGTTTCGTATCATTGAATAGTTTTTTAGTAAGTTCCAGAAGTTGGTGAGTGAGTGGTTTAGTTGAAGGTTTTAAACTTTCATTACAGTGAAGTTATTTCATGTTGAAGAACTTAAAATTCTAACTTTGAACTTCACTGCAGTAATGATACAAGCATCGTAAAGTAGTTTAGCAAATGCTAGTCGTTCTCACTGTGAAAAAGTGTACTTCATATGTGTTGATGAATGAGTAAATGATCTGTAATGTCTGTAATTAAGTTTTGTACATATGTATGTGTGTGCGTGTGTGTAAATGTTTTCATAGCATCTGCCTGCAAAGCATTGAGACACACGATTTCTTTTACAGGTACGTCTTAGTAAGAAAAGAGAAATCAACAGAAGAAGAACAAACTTGTGTCTAATCAACTTAATCACATGATCAGATACAAAAGGCCGAGATAGAATTTAGTGGAATGTTTTTTTTTTTTTTTTTCAGGTCAATAACTAGGTTGATGTTATTCGGACATAGTTGAGAATAGAATTCAAATATTAACTAACCAATTAGAAGTGATAAAAAATATCAAGGCTCTGTGATCTGCTTTTTGCACAAAAATTGACATTGATGATTAAAAAAAAATAATAAAAAAAGTGGTGGCAGAATGCTAAAAAATGCAAATTATATCAGATAGTGGGGTAGCATGGGGAACCTGACAACTATCTTTTTTTTATAATTGTGACAAAAGAAAAAAGAGATAACTGGCAGAGCAAACTTCATTTACAAAATAATGTATATATCTAGTTTTAACTTATACATTTTTTTTTATCTTATAATGTAAGCTTTTTGGAAGGAGTTCTCTTGGGATTGCTTCATTTGGTAGCAATTGTTTTGGTAATAGCTGCAAAACATTAAACAAAGAACAAAAATATTTTTTCTTTTTAACTAATTTTCTTTTTTTTATGGTTATCTCTTCTCACAATTGACATGCACAATGACAGTTAAACTGTGAAATCAGAATAAAGTAGTTTCATTTAGTTTATTAAATAAAAATCAACCTTTCTTTTAACTTGAATAATATATTTACCATGTTGTTCAATTATCTTTTACAATCCTTTGAGTAACTTTATCATTCAATCCACCAAGAATATTTTCTTTCTCAGTTAAGAAAGTCTACAGGCTTCATGCAGTCTGCCAGAAAAGTGATTTTTTTTTTTTTGAAAATTCTGTAAAGATCTGAATGAAAAGTAATCCAAAGATGCAATGCCTGCTAAATATGATAGATGAGTGGAAACTTCTCAACCAAGATGGAATAATTTTTATCTGATCACTTAAATAAACATGTAATCAAGAGTTATCTTTTCAAGTATAGCCATTCCAGACACTTTTCATCAATTTCTGTCTTCAGTTGGTCTAACTGAGAGCAGTAATTGTTTGGATCAATCATCTGATTGACTAGAAAGAGTTCATCCCCTTCGAATTCCATCTGTAAAGAACAGAATGAAAAGTAATTCAAAGATGCAATGCCTGCTAAATATGATGGATGAGTGGAAACTTCTCAACCAAGATGGAATAATTTTTATCTGATCACTTAAATAAACATGTAGTCAAGAGTTATGTTTTCAATTAAGCCATTCCAGACACTTTTCATCAATTTCTGTCTTCAGTTGGTCTAACTGAAAGCAGTAATTGTTTGGATCAACCATCTGATTGATTAGAAAGAGTTCATCCCCTTCGAATCCCATGATCAATTACTTTGGATGAAGACCAGCCTTTGCTTCAAGGAATGGTGGTTCATTTCACATTGTTGTCAAGAATCAACATTTTATTGCAAGTTACATTTCAAAAACAAACATTTTATGCTGAAACTATAAATTGCAATGGACCAATGCTTTTTCTTGCATCACTCAATCTATGTTGATTATCATCAATGCCTTCATTTGATCCCCTTGTTCACCCAACAAAACCACATCGGTGAGAGAGACATGCCAGCATCAAACTTTGCGAACTACTTTTCACATGTTCATATATTCACAAATTTATCCCAAAAATGAATAAACAATTGCTTGTATTTTACTTTTACCATTTAGTGGGGGGGGGGAGAAAGGAAAAAAAGAAAAAGGAAACACCTCAAATATTACCTACTCTCTTACATTTTTCCATATTTGCATAAAAAAACTCAATTATGAAAGTTTTCTATCTTTTTACTAAAATGTCAATATAACAGCTACTGGAATAGAACCAAAACCATTCTCTAAATTCTTAAGTTTTGGTGGAAAGCTCATGACACAATCTAATTCCTAAACTAAGTAAGCAAAAACATTAATTTAAAATCCTTTCCTGTAAGAACTTTTTCAGCACCCCCATCACAAAGCTAAATCCAATGAATGTCATCTAACATATTAGCCAATCAAAATGTCTTTATTCTGATCACATCTCTAAATTAAATGTCAAAAATAATAGAATATACATTCAATATCAATCTATGCTTGTATAAATACTTTTCTTTTATAGGCAAAGATTAACATTTTTGGTTTTTTCATGAGATACTTAAAATGCAAAAGCAAATCAAATTCAAAAACATCACCAAATAAAGCATGGATGCATTTTTGAGATTCACACTTTGAATTAAGTCTGTTTATTCTGACATTTCATTTTAAAATATCCTTTCCAAGTTTTATCAATTGAATGCCCACCCACAACTATAACAGTTTAAAGTGGGAGAAAGTTTAATTATAAATAATCATAATTTAGAGAAAGTTAACCTTTAGCACTCTATAGGTGACTGTTTTCACCAAGCAAAATGGTAGTCCTGCCAATGTTAAATTTCAATTTCTTTTTTTGTGTAGTTATATCTTTCTATGGCAACACCTAAAACAAATCTTGACTGAAATTGAGAGCTAGGCTACTGCAATTTCAATTATATAGAACTATGTAACAAGAATTGGGTCAACCTGATAAGAGACTCAGAGTTGGTTGCATGTGGTGGTATCTTCAGATCACTAAAAAAAGAATATAAGGCATCAAACTTGACGAAAACAAAATTTTATCGTCTGAATATTTATGTTAAGAGGAAATATCAAAGTATTCGAGTAATTTTTTTTTTTTTTAATCGTTCCTAGCACATCTGAAATTTTTGTTAAAAATCTTGTTTTTTTTATTCAGCAAAATTGACAGATAATCAATCATGTCAACCATGTTTTTCCATTTTATAAAAAAAAAAAAAAAAAATTAAAAAAAATGAAAATCAATTAAAACTTTATCATAACTAATTTTAAGAAAATTAAAAAATTATGTTTATTTAAAATATTTTGAAACAAGCATTACTTAGTTTGTGCCAAAAAGAAATAGTTTAAAAATAAAACAAAGCAGGTCATAACATTTTGCGTCACTTGACGGGTGATGGTTGATGATTTCAGCATGTATTGACAGTTTACGTGAGGAAAACTCATCGTACTGTAGGACAGATATGATATATTTATTTAGATTTAAGTGAACAAATTATTTACCTCACTATTTTTAAAGAAAACTTTCATTACTATTTTTTTTTTTTTTTTAAACTTAGCTTTCACCTTTACATCTATGATGCTTTATGGAAAATATATTATAAAAAATTACAATAAGACTGTTGAAAGTGAGATTAAATTTCATAAGAAAGGTATCTAATTAATTTATGGGTACCTTTCTTATGAAATTTTATCAGAAGTGTACATAAAATACTATAATTTTATGTACATTTATTACATTTTACTGTGTTATTTGTATTTCCATTCATTTTATTATCAATTTTGATATTTCATGCGATTAATATAAAAATATGATCATATAAATTTCATATGATATTAATACTTGTAGGTACCCTTCTCAGTTGAAATTGAAAAATCAAATTAACTTCTCAACATGTGTTTCGCAAAAATAAAGGCCCTAACAGAGAACAATGCTTAACTCAAATAATGCAACTTAATTGTATCCTTGCTGATCTTCCATACTTTATAATTACAGCCCAATTATAAACACAAAATTACATTTCTTAATTACTGTGGGGTCTTCGGATTGTAAATTGTATAGTTTCGACCAATGTGCTAAAAATGATCTATCTCATGAGGATATTTACGAAACTGAATGCAGCTTTCAACTAATTTTATATCTTAACAAATGTAAAAATTTTAAATAATTAAAGAAATAATAAATAATTGTATTAAAAATTCATTTTTCATTGAAAAAATTTTGTTTTCAAAAAAATATTGTCCATATTCATAAAAGCAAATAAAAGCATTTGAAATTAAATAATATCTTTGTTTTATTGAGTTTTGTATGTTACAATTCAGAACTGATTTTTTTTCCAATTAAAAAAATAAATATATGACCTGCTTTCCTTAAATCCCTGTGCTTTTAACTAATATAATCACTGAATGCAATTGAATTTCTAGAGTTTTTATAATTAAATTTAGATTTTCCAAATTAATGTCTGTTATACAAAAAAACATGCTAAAAATTTGTTATTTCACCAGTTCCAGTGATACAAAGAGAAACAAGAGTTTTTTTTTGTTTTTTTTAATCAAAATTTATAATGTTCTAAAAAGGAGGAAAATTTTTTTTAAAAATAATTAAAAAATACTTCAGTCCTTCCTCTTAATAACATTTAGATGATAAAATTTTGTTTACGTCAAGTTTGGTGTCTTTCATCAGATTATGCATTTTTTTTTTTTTCTTTTCATTTTTTTTTTTAGCAATCTCATGAAGGTTCCTATGTAAGCACCAGGAATTATGTTCTCTTCCCCAATGGGCTGTTGAAAGAAGACATTCTACTTAACAGTAGGTGGCACTGACTACTACCAGGCTGGTATTAACTAATAGTCAGCGTGGGGTCTGGGACTGGGGAGAGATCTATATAACCCCCCCACCTCTCAGGAGAGTGCTCCCAACATGCGGATATGCAAAAACCAGACAAGACAAACACAAACCGATATATAAGACACTATATTTTGAAGGGATTCCATATACAGGAAGCAATATTTAAAAATACTAAATGTTAAGAAAAATAGTTAAGACATAGAAATTCATTTATTTTAGGAATAAAGATATTGTTCAATATTTTTTTTTAAATTGGGGGGGGGAGGGGGTAGTGCAGTTGTCATGGCAAATTAAGTTGGTAGTTTGGTTACCCCTATAATGAACATACCTGCAAGGGAAGAAAGAAAGAAAAAAAAACATTTAACTCACCACAAGTTTATTATCTGCAATGTTGGCATTATGCATTTGTTCATAGTCGCTGATTAAACTGGTTCTCTTGCGCTGAAACCATAAATGAACAAAAATAATTAAGTGATTGATTTTTTTTTTTATGTAACATCTCTTTGGGGTCTAAGGGAATGGTTCTGAAAAATATGGTACGTCTCAGAGGTGCGGCAGTTAAAAGAAGGGGAGGCAGAATGACTGAAAGACAATAAAAAATTTAGAAACAGTTTTTAAAAATTCACATGCCAAAAATTAATAGGATTTCAAAATTTTAAATATTATGGATTACTTGTAATTGCATTCATGAGTATAAAGAGATATAAATTATTATTGGCCAATTTTGCCATTGGGATATTTTTGCATTATATCAAGTATTAAGAATATAGTAACTCGGGTCATCAAATTGGAGGAGAGAGTTATCAATGATAATGTTGATTTCAAATCTGCGTTTATCTCCTTGACCCTCTCTCTTGACTTTCTTTGTTGTAAGGCTGTTTGCACCTTTTCACAGGGACTTCCCTTTGATAGGGTGCAAGCAAATTCTCATTCTGAAATGTGGCCCAGAAAAAAGCTTGGGAACCACTGGCATAAGTGATCACAGTTCTCTACAGATTCCTTTTTTTTTTTTTTTTTTAAATCTGTGAAATGCCATGATTTCTGAGGAAAGATAATGGAGTGATTTATAAAAAAAAAACAAAAACCCACTACCAATTTTATTTTGTTTTTAGAGCAGGGTGTTGACAAACTGAAAGGGCATATAAATAATTTGGGCCCACATTCCTTTTGTGTTACTTGCTGGAGATTCAAAGTACAGAGTTCAAGCATTTGTCACAGAAAGCTGGGATAAAAAAAAAAAAAAAAAAAAAATTTTTTTTCATTCTTTTATATTAAGAATCTGATGACAAAAATTAAAGAAAGGTTTAAAAAGAAATTTTTTTTTTCTCCTCAAATATATTGTCAGCTTTAAAATATTACAAACTAAAGCTTTTAAATATAAGTTTAGTTTGGCTCAGTGCCAAATGGAGGAAATATGGGGACAATGATTGTCTTCAACTAAGGAGAAGGGTTACCTGCTTATAAAATCAGTATTTAAAATTACAGCTTTCTAAATGGCCTTGGTTTCTGGCACAGGTTAAGAAATACGCAATACTTTTGACCAAAAAACTTTGAACAATTTGACAATCTTTTCAGATTAATTAAATAAAAGTTCCATGACCTAGTGGATTAAGTGTCGATTAAATCCTATTTGGTTCCTGACAGAGTTCAATCCCTGGGTCAAGTAGTGAATGACAGTAATATGCTCTTCTGGTTCAGTGAATCAGACAGACAAGCAACACAGGTGATTTGACAGAATTAAATCAAACAAGATATCCTAAGAGTAAGGGACATGGGATGAAAACAATCAACACCACATGTCATTTGAACAAAGGATTCAGTTCAAAGCTAAGTTTACAGGGACCTGAAAACATGAGTATTATACCAAAAATGCATATGCAGGTTTACAAGGCTAAACAGAGTACATTTAATCAGTTATAGAGTAAAATATATAAAATTGTTTTTGCTAATATTTTTTTTTTTTTTGAGCCACGACTTGCTCTGCTGATGTAACTTTTTACCTTCATTGAGCTGACCTTAAAAATCTCAGACATGATAAATTGAACAACTTTTGGAACGCAAGTTAACCCCAGAACTCAAGTACAACTAGTATATACAACCTATCACCAAAGACTCTGGAAAAATGATTGCAAAAATCTGAAACCAAGTCAGAGGATCCAATACATTTTCTGTGCACCCAGTACAATTTGGTAGCTGTAAGGATTGGTTCATACAAACTGCAAACTGGCCAACTTCATTATTGAAAAACTGAAAAATTGAGCCATGCATTTGCCCATCTCTCTTGACAATGTCAAATTTTGTTATCCAAGGTAATGTTTTCACAATAAAATTGATAGCAACCAATTGCTGCTGATCAAATTTTCAACATATATTTATAATAAATATACCACTGAGAGTTCATATTATATCAGCTTTGTATTAGAAAGTTACAATAATTTGGCCATTATGCAAATCAAGGATTGTTCATTTAGCAAATAAATCTATAGAATAGATATTTATATTTTAATTTCAGATATTAAAGACTACCATTTTCCACCTATTCTATAAAAACAAATATTCCTCTACATGTCAAACTCAAAAAGCTCAACATTTAGAATATATCTTGATTCAGCAGATTCTAAGGAAAACTTCAAACAATTTACATATGCCCTTTATATGTGCAAAAATATTTGTTGATTAAAGCAAACATAATATCAAAAAATAGCAAAATTACCCCAAACCATTCCTTGTTTGTAAACCTTGGCAAAATTAATAATGGTAGAATAATTCCATAATTTTTGTTTAAGAAAGGTCAATATTTTTTAAGATAAAAAGTACTATAATGAATAATTTTTATAATAAATTAACTGACATCAGGTTTAAATATAGTAGTATTTATGAAATACTAGAATTATTTTCTTATAATACATAGGCAACGCTAGAGAAATAAAATTCTAACATTATTCCGTGATGGGAACAAAGATCCAAGAACAATCAAAAAGGAAATTAACCCTAGAACACTAACCATCAATTAAAATTACACCACTGCTAACCATGGGTATATCATACCTGATTTTGAAAATATCAAAAAAAATTAAATAAATCTTTATTTGAAATATTTTAGATGCAGGCACTTCAAACTTTGTACTTTGAGTTAACATTAATAGGAACTGAAAAACATTTAGTTAAGAAAATCAGGTACTGAAAATTGTAATTAAAAATAGGAAAATTTGCACTGGGTACTATATACCCATGGTTAATGTTCTAGGGTTAAACACATAGGCAAGATGACAAGAACTGGTTTGAGGAATTTCAAAATGAGACCTGAGAAAAATTCCAAGGACTTGAAGCAAGGAGAAAATATTTCAAGAATATCTGGTGTTGCGATGCAAAATATTAAGATATGAAAGCAAACAAATTACTGCAAGCCCATGAGAGTTGGACAAAGAAATACATTTCTCAACAATGATACAGTGTTAGCAAAAGATATTTTTAGATGGTCTATATATTTTAGATTTATTTATAGATACAGATACTCCCCACCCCACCAAAAAAAAAAAAAATTATAAATCAAGATTTTAAGTAAAAATGGATATTATAAACCCAAAATTACAAGATGCATAGTCCATTTAAATATAAGTATACACTGAACATTTTCCCAATTTTGGTTGACTAATCTCACACATAAAATTTGAACTGATATCTCAGGATAATAAAAAGAAAAGTTCAAAATATGTATTTCAACGTCTGCTTTTATTATTTCCAAAATCATATTTGGTGATCAGAGATTTTACTATTCAAAAGGTTCTTCATCATAGTTTAAAATAGATATTTATATTTTTAATTTCAAATATACCAAGCTTTGTCATAGTTACTAAGAAACTATGAACTCGAAGAAAAAATACATTGTAATGTAGTTACCTCCAAAAATTTGTATACCTAAAGTTAAAATGTATTTTTCATAAAGGAAAAATCCTTTTCGAAGCTTTCCAACTGCTTCAATTGAAAGCTAAAGGATTAATTAGATGTAAAAAAAAAAAAAAAAAAAAATTTTTTACCAAGATTTTCTAAAAAAAAAAAAAAAATTTCAAAAATAAATTCATTCATTTTTGAATCAGTCTTGAAAGTTTCATTAAAATCAGACAATTATTTAATTTTTGCAAGAATTTCCAAATTAATGGATTTCCCCCTGAAACTGCTACATTAAAATGGCCATTACCACAAGTATTACAACACCCCACCACCCAGAGATTTTTGATCCAAATTTAGAATGTGTTAGAAAGGAAAGAAATTTTTTTTAAAATATTTAAAAAATACTTTGTTCTTTCCTCTTAATAATAAACATTTTAATGATGAAACTTTGAGACCTTTTATAATTATGATATGCAAATTATTGGAGGCACCTATTGTAATGTTATTGAATGACAAACACAATTTTGGCAATTCTAGAAGAGAGAAAAAAAAAGAACAGATATCTCAGGCTAATAAAAAGAAAAATTGAAAACATTGGCAAAATAAAAATGAATGTCATAAAAAGAAAATGGAGAAAAATTAAAACAATAATAAGCAAAAATATTGAATTGTCCAATAAGAAAAAATTTCAAAAAATTTGAAAACTACAAATGTAAACAGATATAAAAACATGTAGAATATTATGATCATTAAAACAACCCAACTATCACCTTTAAATAAATATCATGAAAGTTGTGCAAAAAAATACATGAAAACTGATTTCTCAACAATAATTACTAGTGATGAATAGAGAGCTACATTGGATGAACCTGATGACTGGGCTAGACAACATAATTTAGAAGATAACAATGGTAAGGTGAAATATTTTGGCCAGGTATTCTAGGTTCCTTCAAAGTTGGTGGCATCAAGATAAATGTAGAGAATTATTCTCAATCTTGGGACAATATGGTATTTTTGAATGGTACAGATAACAAAAAAGCACCAAACTGACGATTAACCCACCTTAATCAAAAAGTTACAAATATATCGAATTATTGAATGTAACTCTCAGCTTCTTTAGACATTCATTCTCAAGAAAAATTGTGCCGCATGATTAAAGAGACAGAGAGAGAGAGAGAGAAAAAAAAAAAAAAAAAAACATGCATGAGAACAGAAAGCAAAATATTCGAGCAAATAAGATCTCCAGGAAGCCATTAAAACTGCAAGAATAAAAAGCAAGTAAAATCAATGGAAAAAATATAACTCACATCAACATATAAAGCATTAATTTATTCAGATATATCAGATATTTTTCTTTTTAATAATTTCACCCCAGGCAAGGCAACAAAGCCACTGAGATGCAAGAGGTTACAAAGACTGAAAGAAGGAAAAAATTCATTAAGCAGAGAGGCTAATAAACAGGAATTAAGGAGACAAAATACAAAAGAATCTGCAGCAATGTTATCAGCCCTAACTTGGTATCACAGCTTCAGTCATTTTCCCATCACAAT